ACGGGCGGCGTTGCTTCGACTTATGGCACGCCACCGCTTGCAGAGCTCTCGTCGCACTTTGTTGAGCCATGCAACTCTGCGATTGCACCTTTTGGAAAAGGAACAGATTCTACCCATCAGGCAATCGATTAATTTGCCCTTAACCATATCAATTACACCTAGTGCAGTTTAATCACCACTTTTCAAATGTTGAATATCTCACCTCTAACATTGCACAAATCAACTTGGCATCTTCCATCCCCAAGCCTCGATCTTGGAACTCCACTGAATTCATTTTAATGCCAACTAGAAAGTCTGCCGCAACCGCTTTTCTGAAATATTTTTTGCACGACGCACTATAAATACAATCTATTTGAAAATGTTAAGATGTTCAGAATAAATGGTGGCCCACTTGATTCCTTCGAGAATCTCTAGGATCACTCGCATCCTATTTTCTACGGAACCGCCATATTTATCTGTGCGATTATTCGTTGATGGTGACAAAAAGGATGACAACAGATAGCCGTGAGCACCATGAATCTGGACGCCATCGAACCCTTAAGCAAATGTTTTTAGAATTTCAGTAAAGATCCACAAACACAGACTCAGGACACCTATGTACTATTTGAGAGAGGGTTGCTCCGTTAGCAATCGTAAAATGTCTGTTACTCCTTGTGAGACTACTAGTGTAAAGCCTAGACTACAAGCGACAATAATAGGTGGAAAGCAGCCGAACACAGCCCCAGCATCCGCAGCGAACAAGGCTATACCTTGTATGTATTAACTGAACCCATATATTGATGAGAGGAATGAGATATAATAGATCAAGCCTTGGCGCCAAATGGCTGGCGATCAGGTCGGTGCTTCATCCGTTGATGAACCTTTTCATGCTTTTCTTTGGGAGAAGAAAATTGTTTTTAGTAACCCGCCCCACCGCCACCCCCACCCACCGCCCCGCCCCTCCGTACAGTACCTGACGAGTGTAAAGGCTGATTGTATATACATTTCGGTCAATTTTACATCTTCTGGTCCATAAGTATCTAAATTGAGGAACCAATTCTATCGCGAAACCTTGATCATGAGGCGAATTTCGTTCCGTATATAGAATCGATCAACGATCATTTTGAAATCTGTGCTTCGTGTAGTGCGATCGGTCTGCCGAATATCCCAATGAATTCCCTCTTCTGTTTTCAAGTTAATATCAGATACAAGAGGAATGGGTTGCGAAGTTCAACTGTTCCGCGTGTCTGTCGACCTGCCTACAGAAGCGATCCATCAAAATGTCTCAGCTAGACACCTAGTCGACAAAACGAACGAATTGTTCTAGTTTAGACTCAAAAAAAAATCTCATTCAGCCTCGGTTGTGTGAAAAATGATCACTGCACTTACTCCACACTGCTAACTCTTCCACAAATCCGTAATACTAATGCCTCAAGGTTAGTTGACATCACTTGAAAATATAGTCCATTAGCAGCCACTCACATTCGACACTTGAACAACAGCTAGAGCTCCGTCTTGTTTAGCTGCTTTTGCAAGCTTCGAAGCCATTTCTCTCAACTCCGGACAGTCGTTCTCCTTGCAAAACACGGCGTTTCCAGCTGACTCAAGATTGTACTGAAATAGTTCTTCAGGTCGAGTTCAGCAGTTCACCTTCACTGGGAGTAAACAACAAATTAGTAGGTCAAAAAGCAAAATAATAAAACGGACCAGATCCACGCCAACATTACCAGTGAGAATCATGCCAAATTTCCCATGACCCCATCTGTCGTAAAGATTAACTAATTGTTCAGTTGGTATCCCTCGTTTGGTGGGATCCTTGGGATCCCATGACGATATCCGTTCCGTCAAAGCTGCCTAAATGTTGTCAGTTGTTGACTGGAGAAGGGATGCCAAGAGATCTTCGTTGTGACGAAGCGACCCTGCCATTGGCGTCGCCTCTGCGGCATTTTTTCTACGACCTTACTGATTCAATGGTCCTCTTAAGTAAAGTCTAAAGTAACTTTATCCAACGGGCTAGCAAATACCAGCCAGTTGTTGCACGTCATCGCAACTTTATCCCCTGGCTCACATCCAAAATTGCAACACTACCAATGGTAAACAAAATAACAACTGCAGAATTGTCCAAAATTTTAACTCACTTACTTTGAGGAATCTATTCTGCGCAGTGCGACCATTGCGGAATTTCAATGGTTGCCCAAGCACTGACACATCGACTTTAGAAGCTGGTAGGCGGGAATGTACAGACTGAATAAGAGTAGTAGAAGAAAACATCACTAAGGAGCTGTCGAATACTACAATATAAATAAAAATAACGCCTTGCTTATATATTGACTTCGTGGCGTACAGCAGCAGACCCCACTGGTTATTCGGCGTCCGGACACATATGACATTAATTTCTGGTCCTGGCGCGAAAGGAAGGCACTCTGATCGTCTGCGCTCTGCTAAGACCGAGCCTGAGGGGAGTGAATCCTTTTTTGAGCTCATCCTTAGCATAAAGCTAAATCGCGCAGGTGACAAAAATGAGGTTCATACCCGTGATCAGGAGCTCCCTCTTCCCAAATCAATCACAAGTGCAAGTTTGTGATAAAATATGGTGGGGAAGTTGTAGCACCAAGTTGGCAGCAGCACCGTTCAGATGCCAACACCTTATTGGCTGAGAATGAACATATTCGTGGACAAGACACTAAATAACCATATTGGCTTTGGTGAGGAATAGGCTGGCATTAAAGTGGCGCCCATTGCCGCCAATTGGCGCCAGGGTCGAAAGCAGATGTCATAAACGTGATATTGAAACCAGATGTTCCCCACAACTAAGGTCTCATGATGAGCAAAAAGAAGCTTTTTTCGGGTAGTAAAGGTTGATTAGTGCCAAAAGGGCGTACCTTGTAGGAGACCTGTATGAGTGATGTCTTGATAGAGGCAGGACTGAGAAGGAGCTTTGTAAATGCTATTCGCATAGATATCTTACACAGGAAACCTGAAAATGAGCCTTCAGGACAACTGGAACCACTTTATCACTCAGCAGGAGCTGAATGTAACAGAGCAGTGAAACTCGTATGTCTACAAACGTAGAGAAAGCTAGATGATGATGTATGTCACAATTTGTCGTCCCTCTAACACTCAGCTTCAAAATACAAGGCAGGATTACTCGTCTGCAGGCGCGGCGTCGCTCGCCACGCCTGCTAGCGCGGCAAATTACCATTACCTTGTCACATATCCCCCGCAAGGGCCCGGAACTTCATGCAGACTAGAGGGAGCAGAGAAAAGCCCAAAACTGATGCGATCTAACGGTGCGTTCATACTTTGCGGGAGCGTCCACCAGCGACTAATAGCGTTCACCTGCGTCGCGAGCGCGATAGCGTCAACGACTAAGGAAAGTGTAAGAAAGTGGATATCGGTCTGGTGGTCTGCCAGCGTCCTCCAGCGTCTACGTCTATAGCACATATGACACAGGAAAACGCTGGTAACGCTGACGCTGACGCTGGTATACGCTGAACGCTGGTATATCGCGTCATACTTTTCTCTCCCGGACGCTGGTATACGCTGGCGCGCGCTGGTAGACGCTAAATCGATATCTATACTATCCTAGTCGCCGATGCCGACACGACGTGCCTTCCGTCATCGCCACATCTGGGCGATTTTTTCTACTTATAGAGGGCCAAGGAATACTTTGCCTGGAGTTCTCAACGCAGCCTACCACACTGTGCAGAGTAGCCCTGGATGGTGCGCGCCATTAACAAGGTGTTGCTATGTTGCTTGTCTGCACGTCGAACCTAAATTGCCCCCTACTCATAGAGTTGATAGGTACCGGACAGTTGGAGTTTTCCGTTATTCATTGCGCTTGACATAGGATGAGAGATAGTATTTTGCTGAAAGTGGCTATACACAGGACCCATCGTTGAGGAATCAACAATACATCTATCTGGGGAGAGGAGAGCGTGTGTGGCCACAGTGAGCTGGGGAGTACGGGGGTCCTATTCGACCTGGCGAGTGAATCGTATTGCCCCGGAGAATTTTCCATAACACGATAATGTGCCCTGGTTGACGGGGTCAATACATTGCAGGACAAAAAACTACAGCATAACCCTCTTATTGTTAATAACGTCCACGAAGTTGAGTTAGATAGAGCCATTTCTCTTTCACGATATGACAGCAACGAATAACTGAGGAAACAGCTGATCAAACAGCTGATAGACGCACTTTTTCGAACTGTTGTGATTGTTGTTTCGTCCTTCCCGTTCAAGAGACATGGACAGGCTCCAGATACCACTAGACAGACACCGAATAGATAAGTTCCAAGGCGCAGTTCGGCAACGGAAGTGTGGCATTTTGCGCACTCGCTTCTTCGTTAGTTCCGGTTCACAAATCTCACTCTGAAGAAACCT